CCTCGTTCTCCTATCTTCTCCCTCCTCCTCATCTCCCTTCTTCTTCCTTCTCATTTCTTTCTGTCTCATTTCTCCTCGTCTCTTGCTGTCACATTTTAATCTTCATCTTCTGTCTTCTCCCTTCTCCTCATTCTCTGTCTCATTTCTTCTCCTCATCTCCTTCTCTTTATCTCCTTCTATCTCAAGCCTTCTCTTCTCCTTCATCTCCCTCTTCATCTCCGTCATCTTCCATCTCTCCTTTACGTCTCCTCCATCCTTCCTTATCCCCAACCATCTTCACCTCTTCTCATCTCAATCTCTCCATATCCTTCTCCCTCCTTTTCCTCCCTTCTTTTTCCTCCTTTTTCCTCCTTTTCCTCCCTTCTTTTCCCTTCCCTTTTCCTTCCTTCTTTTCCCTCCTCCTCCTCTCTCTCCGTTCCGCCTTCTTTCATACTTCGGAATGTGTGTCTCTCGCCCAGCCATCTCCTGCGACGTCGGGGGTTAATTGGTGTCTGATGAACGCTTCGTCTATCGTTTCGGTGCGCGACTTGGCCCCCCGATAACGAGCGATAACTGCCTCGTTCAACTCGTCGCTTGTCGTTTTCCGTTTCCCCCTCCCCTCCTCTTCCTCTTCTTTCCCCTCTATTTTTCTTTTTCTTCTTCTTCTTCGTCTTCATTTCGTTTTTGTTTTAACAGCTTTCTCTTTATCTTCGTCTTTCAGTGTGGAATCGTTTGGAGAATTGTCTGATGCTCTCTCTCTCTCTCTCTCTCTCTCTCTCTCTCTCTCTCTCTCTCTCTCTCTCTCTCTCTCTCTCTCTCTCTCTCTCTCTCTCTCTCTCTCTCTCTCTCTCTCTCTCTCTCTCTCTCTCTCTCTCTCTCTCAGCGCCCCTTCTTCGACGCGCGTTCGACCGAGGAAGCAAAGTACCTGTTGAATAATTTACAGCATGTCTGGGGATAGTGGCGATGGCCGAAAGGATAGGAGGGGGGGGGGGGGTGTCGGGGGTGCAAGGGGGAAGAGAGTAGGGGGGGGTGGGGGGAGGGCTATTCTTACGTCGTGGAGCATCTTGGTCCTGGGATTATTATAGTGCACGTAATGTACGTATTGCATGTATTTGTTTTTGATTATTATTTTTGTACGAACAGTTTTAATTTTTTAATGGGGATTAGAATGAATTTATCGTTTGTTGGATTTCTGTCTTATTTATTGCTCAACTCGCAGTTATTCAGGTGTCTCTTTCCTTTAGGTGTTTCTTTTGTACGAACCTTTGCAACGAAAGGCTCTCCTGTCGTCTTCCTCTCCCTCTCTGATTTTTCTCTTTCTCTCCACTCCTGTCTCCCACCCTCTCTCACTTTCTCTCATCCTCTCTCACCCTCTCACTCCTCACGTTCTTCTCCTCCTGTACGCCTTCCGTGCGGTGTGTGTGTGTGTGTGTGTGTGTGTGTGTGTGTGTGTGTGTGTGTGTGTGTGTGTGTGTGCGTGCGTGCGTGCGTGCGTGTGTGTGTGTGTGCGTGCGTGCGTGCGTGCCGTACGCGTTTCCGCTCCCCTCGCATCTGTCTGCATCCGTACAGGGGAGGAGGAGGAGGAGGAGGAGGAGGAGGAGGAGGAGGAGGAGGAGGAGGAGGAGGAGGAGGAGGAGGAGGAGGAGGAGGAGGAGGAAGGGTCCATCCCGGCGCGGACATCAAGCTGAGGTTCCGAGTGGATGTCAGTGCGAGAGAGAGATTTGCATGTTGACGCACCGAGGACAGGGAGTAGTAGTAGGGGGGTAGAGAGGGATTTGGGGAGTGGCTTGGTGGGTGGGTTGGGAGGGGAGGGGACAGGATAAAGAGTTTAGAGGGGTTATTTGAAGAGGAGGAGGAGGAGGAGAAGAAGGAGAAGGAGGAGGGGGAGGAGGATAAGTCCTAATTGTGGCACGTTTTTTTACTTGTTTTCTTTGTTTCATTGTTTAGGGCATAGTTCTAATACTTGGTCTTCAGGTGAAGGGTGTTTTATTGTTGGCTGACTTTTTCTTCTTCCATAGAAAGGGGATGTTGGAATAACAAAAAGTGAGGAGAGAGAGAGCGAGAGAGCGAGAGAGCGAGAGAGCGAGAGAGCGAGAGAGAGCGAGAGAGAGCGAGAGCGAGAGAGAGCGAGAGCGAGAGCGAGAGCGAGAGCGAGAGCGAGAGCGAGAGCGAGAGCGAGAGCGAGAGCGAGAGCGAGAGCGAGAGAGAGAGAGAGAGAGAGAGAGAGAGAGAGAGAGAGAGAGAGAGAGAGAGAAAGAGATAAAAAACACGTGTGAAGGGAACACGAGGGGAGAGTTGTCACCGAGATGTGCCGAAGTGATCTCTCTCTCTCACTCTTTTCTTGTGTGTGCGCGCGCGAGGGGAAGAGGCGAGGGGAAGAGGAGAGGGGGAAAGAGCGGAGTACTTGACAGGTGATGTATTGCCACGCACAAGGGCAAGCTGAGGCGGGCCCGGGCGGTGTGGAGGAGGACTGTGTGGCGTTATTTGCATTCCCGGCTGGTCGACTTCACCCTTCTGCCGCGGGGCCGTGAGGGGCGGGCGCCGTTGTCGTCCCGTCTCGGTCGTTATTCTCGTCTTTATTCTCGTCCCCTTTTTTCTCTTGTTAGTGTTTTTTTCTTTTCTTTTCTTTTCTTTTTCTTTTCCGTCTCTTCACTTTCCGCTTTCCATTCTCTTGACTCGCTCCTCGCGCTGTGCTTCTTCCCCCCTTTTTCCGCACTGTATCTTTTTTTCTAATATCATTTATTCTCCTCTTGTCTCCCAGATTTCTTTCTCTTTTCCTGTCTTCTCCCTTCCCTCCTTTCGTAAGCCTCCCATTCTTTCTTTTCTCTCTCCCCCCCCCGTCTTCTTCACCCACCTCGTAGAAGGATCTCGAGGAGGAGGAAGAAGAAAAGAGGAGGAAGAGGAAGAGGAAGAAGAGGCTAGTATCTCCTGGAGATAAACTCGGGGGCGGCAGATAACGCTGGTTCCTTCTCGAGAGAGAGAGATCCCCTGGGAATCGAAGTTGGCGAGGGAGGATGGAGAGAGAGAGGGAGGGAGGGAGGGAGGGAGGGAGAAGGATAGAGGAAGAAGGATAGAGGAAGAGAGAGATTTTCGGTGTACGAATTGCTTAAGACATCGCGTTTATTTCTCTCTCTTTACCATTACTTTTCCTTAATTCCTATTCTTTCCCTTGCCTCCTCTGTCTATACATTTCTTTTCATTCCCTACCCTTCCTCCATCCCTTTCTTTCCTTCCCTCCTCTTATATCTTTTCCCTCCCCTTTCCTTCCCTCCCCTTCCCTTCCCTGCCCTTTCCTTCCCTCCCCTTCCCTTCCCTGCCCTTTCCTTCCCTTCCCTCCCCTTCCCTTCCATTCCATTCCATTCCATTCCATTCCATTCCCTCCCCTTCCCTCCCCTTCCCTTCCCTCCCCTCCCCTCCCCTCCCCTTCCCTTCCCTTCCCTTCCCTTCCCTTCCCTTCCCTTCCCTTCCCTTCCCTCCTCTTCCCTCCCCTCCTCTTCCCTTCCCTTCCCTTCCCTCCGCTCCCCCCGCTCCCTTCCCTTCCCTCCGCTCCCCCCGCTCCCTTCCCTTCCCTCCGCTCCCTTCCCTTCCCTTCCCTCCCCTTCCCTTCCCTTCCCTTCCCTTCCCTTCCCTTCCCTTCCCTTCCCTCCTCTTCCCTTCCCTTCCCTTCCCTTCCCTTCCCTTCCCTTCCCTTCCCTTCCCTTCCCTTCCCTTCCCTCCTCTTCCCTTCCCTTCCCTTCCCTTCCCTTCCCTTCCCTTCCCTTCCCTTCCCTTCCCTTCCCTTCCCTTCCCTTCCCTTCCCTTCCCTTCCCTTCCCTTCCCTTCCCTTCCCTTCCCTTCCCGCGTTGCCGCAGCGGGACCTGCCTGACAGGGTTGGGACGTGTTCCGGCCCCCTATGTAAGCGTCACGTATTGATTGTTCCTTCATAATAGACCCGCTAAGCTACTCACAGGAGGAGCGGGAACCCGATCCCCTCGTGGGTAAAGGGGGGAGTGGGGGGGGGGAGGAGGGAAGGCGGTTGGGGAGGCGGGTTTGGAGGGGAGGGTAGGAGAGGGGAGGGCACGGACGGGCGGGTCGGCAGGCAGTGGGAAGACGATAATTCAATAGAGTTAGATTTCACGGGAAAGAGGCGGGTCAGGACGGAGGTTTGGGATGGAGGCTGTTGAAGGAGGGATGGGGAGGGGAAGGGAGGGGAGGGGGAGAGGGGGGGAAAGGAGGGTGGGTGGGTAGGTAGGTAGGAGGAGGGGTTATTTCTTTTCTTCCTTCTCTCCCTCCCCCTCCTGTCCTCTCCTCTCTCTCTCCTCTCTCATCTCTCCTCACCCTTCTTCTCGTCCTCCCTATCCCTCCATTCGCTCGGGGCTTTCTCTCCCCGGAAGGAGTGGAAAGGGAGGGTAGATGGGGTGGGGGTGGGGTGGTAAGATGGGTGGAGGGAGGGAGGGGGTGGTGGGGGGCACGCCATTGAAGATACAAGAGTGGATTAATGAGGCTGGGTGGAGACGTGGTGGTGGGGGGGGGGGTGAAGGGTGGGGGTTGGTTGGGGGGGGAGGGGCAAGGGAGGGTTTACATTGACCAAGGCGGTGAACTGGTTTCAGATGCGGGGTTTTGTTATATCGTTAATTATTATTTTATTATTTTTATTATTTTTATTATTATTTTTATAAAAATCCGTTCCCGAAGGCCGTTCTTCGCTTTACTAATTATTTTATTTTATTTTGTTTTATGCTTTCTGCTTCCTTCCTCCACCTGATTCTGTAGCATTGATTTTCAGTTGTTTTGTTTTGTTTCATTTTGTTTCATTTTGTTTTATTCCAGAAGATGATGATCCAACTTTTTTTTTCCATCCAATTTATTTTGTGTTGTGCGTGCTATTTTTTTATGTCATGAATTATGATTTGTTTGTTTGTTTGTTTATTTTTTTATTACTTTTGTGTTATTTGTGGAAACTAGAGAGGAGAGATCTCCTTTGTTGTTGTTCTCACAGAAATCTGTTTGTTATCACCTATTCAAAAATTCAACATTTTCAGGTTGTTGCAGGTCAAATGCTTCACCGGCCACCGTCTGTCCAAGTTAGTGTGTTGGCTTTGTCTTTACCACCTCCTCCTCCTCCTCCTCTTCTCTTTCGTCTCTTCCTTATCTCTCTTTCGTCTCTTCCTTATCTCTCTTTCGTCTCTTCCTTATCTCTCTCTCTCTCTCTCTCTCTCTCTCTCTCTCTCTCTCTCTCTCTCTCTCTCTCTCTCTCTCTCTCTCCTCTCTTCACCATTCTCGATTTCTTTAGCTCTTACTCTTTTGTCTTCTGTCGTCTTCTCCGTTTTCTTCTTTTTTCCCTCTTTTATTTCTGTTCTCTTGTGTTGTCTCTCCTTTTCCCTGTCTCTCTCGTTTGTAGTGCCTTGCTTTGCCTCTTTCTGTTTACTATTCTCTTTTATACTCTTCTTTTTATCTATCTGTCTGTCTATCTATCTACCCTTTTTCTACCTTTTTCTTGCCCTTCTCTTCTCTTAGTCCAACTTTTATTTTCTGTCTCCTACTTCTGTCTTCGCTTCTCTGCTGTCTGTCTTTCGCCTAAACTTTTATTTTTTGGTTATTAACAAATATTTAGCTTATTAACTAATCATGAGTATTTTGTCTAAAACTCTCGCCATCTCTGCCCTCGCCTCCTCTTTTATCCAATATTCCTTAGTCTTGCTTCGTGTGTGCTTCTTGGTCATCACCTGTTCCTTTTCTCTGTATTCCCTGCCTCGCCTGTCATCTTCCTTTCCTTTCATACCTCTTATCTTGTGTTTTCTCTTTTCCCCCTTTTTCGTTCGTCACCCTTTGCCTATACAACCCTCTTTCCCGCTCGCTTTCTCTATCTCTTCTATCTCCTCTCTTCTATCTCCTTCTCTCCTCTATCTCCTCTCTCCTCTATCTCCTCTCCTCTATCTCCTCTCTCCTCACCTCCCCCTCCCTCCCTCTCGCGGCAATTGTATTAACGTCCCGAATAAACGCTGTCCCTCTTGTTTCCTCTCGTTTCCCCTTCCTTTCTTCCTCTTCTTGCTCACCTCCGCGCCCTCTGTTTAATCTCCCCTTGCCCCATTCACGGCTTCGCTTCTTTGGAGTTTTGCTTTGATACCTCCGTTCTGTTCCTTTGTGCATTCTCCTCTGTACTTTTCTTTTCTCCTCCTTCCTCCTCTTTCGCCTGTACCTCAACGCCCTCGTTTTTTTTTTTTTTTTTTTTTTTCTATTATTCCTTGTCTAATTATTACCCTCCTTCCCTTCTTCCAACCCGTCTTTCTTTATTCGTTCTGTTCTCCATCCTTCATTTATTTCTTCCACTATCTTTTATTCCTCTTTTTTTTCCGCCATCCTTCACTCCCTCCTTTCGTCTCCTCCTTCTCTTCCTTTCGTCTCTTCCTCCTCTTCCTTTCGTCTCTTCCTCCTCTTCCATTCGTCTCCTCTTCCTCTTCCTTTCGTCTCTTCCTCCTCTTCCTTTCGTCTCTTCCTCCTCTTCCTTTCGTCTCTTCCTCCTCTTCCTTTCGTCTCTTCCTCCTCTTCCTTTCGTCTCTTCCTCCTCTTCCTTTCGTCTCTTCCTCCTCTTCCTTTCGTCTCTTCTTCCTCTTCCTTTCGTCTCTTCCTCCTCTTCCTTTCGTCACTTCCTTCTCCCTCCTCCTCCTCCTCCTCCTTCTCCTCCTCCTCCTCCTCCTCCTTCTCCTCCTCCTTCTCCTCCTCCTTCTCCTCCTCCTTCTCCTCCTCCTTCTCCTCCTCCTCCTCCTTCATTCCCTCGTTTCTCCTTCATTCCCTTGTTCCTCCTCCCTTCACCCCTTGTTTTATGATTAACACTTGTTCGTATGTAAGGTCATATTGTATCTCCATCTTGGTTGGATTTGTTTCTCTGTAACTTGCTAAGCTCACCCTTGGTTGTGATGTAGCACATTGATTGTATATGTATTTTTTATTACGTGCAATTTTTATTTTATTTCATTTTTATGGTCATTACTATTTTTTTTTCTTTTTCTTTAGTGGGGGTAATTTTTTTTCTTTTTTCTTTTTCTTTTTTTTTTGGCTTGCGCATTTTGTGTTTGGCATTTTGTATATATTTACCTGCTCCTTACCTGTGTGACTTTTATAGCTTCCCTCAACCCTTTCGTGCAACAGATGCTTAATATTCATGAGATGCGTGCCCTCCCCCACCCCCCCTCCCCATCCCCCTCCCTCCTCACTTCTCTCGCTCCCTCTTCCTCTTATTTTTATTGATGTAACGTCTTTGGAGAGTGATGAAATTTACTGACGAGAGGCACAACGCGAGCAAAGAAGTGAGAAAGGGAGGAAGAGAGAGAAAGATAAGAGAGATAAATTATATTTATAGAGAAAGATTAGATATATAGAGAGAGCGAGAGAGGAGGAAAATCGAGAGAGACTTGCTGACGATTGGTACGACATGAGCACAGAGGCAAGAGAGGGATAAGATAGTAAGAGCAAAAAAAACGAGAGGGAAAGCTAGACAGAGAGAGGAAGAAAGAAAAAGAAGGGGAAGGAGATAATTAGACGAAGAGGGACGCCAGGGATATAGAAAGGCAGACCCGGGGCGGAATTAGAAAAATCCAGCATAAATTATCGCCTCATCTCCTCACCTCATCTCCTCGGTGTCAGGCAAGGGCCGTCGAGGCGTCCGAGAGGAGATTGACAGATCGTCGGCGCGAAGTGGCAAGAGCTTCTCGGTCGACGGTGAAGCCAGTCCGGTCGAGGCGGTAGACGGAAGGCGGTCGTCGTCGCTTATCGCTCGTCGCTCGCCCCTTTTTGGCGTCGCGGGGGCAAGGCCGGGAGTCCGGGTGCGTCGAAGGAGGTTTGCGTTAAGGTACCCGAAGGTGGAAGTAAGGGACGGAAGGAAGAAGGGGGGGGAGAGGGGAGAGGGGGACAGAGTCAGTCAGTCAGTGAGGGAGGGTGGGAGGGGGGAGGGAAGGAAGGAGGGAGGGAGGGAGGGAATGATTGAGATGGGTTTTGGACGAGGGAAATATCACGGTGTTGGGTACTGTAATGGTTTGTTGTGTAGTTTCGTAGTTTTACGTAGTATTGGTTGGTATGACCTTGCATATGTATTTATTTGCTTGTTTATTTTAAAAACTTTTTCTTGCAGAGAGAGAGAGAGAGAGAGAGAGAGAGAGAGAGAGAGAGAGAGAGAGAGAGAGAGAGAGAGAGAGAGAGAGAGAGAGAGAGAGAGAGAGAGAGGATGGAATGTGGCACCGCGTCAGTGGAGAGCAGCGACCTGGATGGCAGTGTGTGGGTGCGACAGGGGAGGGGGACGAAGGGAAGGGAAGGGAGGGATAGGGAGAGGGGGCCCGAGGAGGAGGAGGAGGAGGAGGAGGAGGAGGAGGAGGAGGAGGAGAGGAGGAGGAGGAGGAGAGGGGGGGAAGTTATTGCAGGAAGGCTCGTGATGGATCCGAGACGTGATTTATGCCCGGTGATTGCGGAGCGACGGGGTCCGCTTTGTGATTTAGGAGATGACGCGGCCGACGACGGGATGCTGTGCGCTGTCGTGCGGGGGCGGAAGGAGGGGAGGGGAGGGGGGATGGGGGGGGGGAGGGGAGGGAGAGTGAATTCTAGGGGGCAGAGGGAGAGGAATGGAAAGGGGAGGGGAGGGGAGGGGAGGGGGTAGGGTAGGGTAGAAGGAGAGTGAATTGGAGGGGATAGGGAAGGGGGAGGGAGTTTGGAGGAGGATGTAGGGGCGAGTGGAGGGGGGGGTAGAGGGGGACCGGAGGGAACGGGAGAAGGGAGGAAGGAGAGGAGGAAGGGAAGGGATGGAGGGAGGGAGGGAGGGAGGGAAGCGAAGCGAGAGTTTGAAAGCAAAGGGTCGGGGATGATTTGATTGAAAGTTGGAAAGGGGAAGGAGCGAAGATGTGGACGAAGAGGAAGTGAAGAGAGGAAAGAAATGCGTAAGAAGAGAACAGACGCAAATTACTTGAGAGGATTATGGGGAAAGAAAAGATGGGGATGATGATGGACAAGAGAGGGTAAGGATGAGGAGAGGGGAGAGACGAGACGAACACGAGGGCAGAAAAGGGGAAAGGCGGGGGAGAAAGGGAGCAAGGAGGAAGGACTTAAAGTTAAAGAGACGGAAGCGCAGGGGGAAGAGGAGGAAGAAGAAGAAAAAGGAGAAGGAGAAGGAGAAGGAGAAGAAGAGGAAGAGAGGAAGGAAGAGAAGAAGGAAGAAGAAGAGGAAGAGAAGAAGGAAGAGAAGAAGGAAGAGAAGAAGGAAGAAGAAGAAGGAAGAAGAAGAGGAGGAGAAGAAGGAAGAGGAGGAGGAGAAGAAGGAACAGCAGCAGGAGCAGCAGCAGCAGGAGGAAGAGGTGGCTCTTGATGGAACGTTCTGGCGGCCGTAATTGAGAGCGACGAGCCGTGATTGAATTGTGATTAAGTGTGGCGGTGCATTGATCGTGTGTCTCGGCTCCTGCAGGGGCTCCCCCTCCCTCGCCCCCCCGCATCGATACAGACTCGACCCCCTCTCCTTTTCCCTCGCTGCTTATTGTTTTATTTCGTGCTGGCCAGGCTAGGTTTTCTTTTGCAATTATATATATATATATATATATATATATATATATATATATATATATATATATATATATATATATATATATTTATATATATTTATATATATATATATATATATATATATATATATATTTATATATATTTATATATATTTATATATATTTATATATATTTATATATATTTATATATATTTATATATATATATATTATACATATAGATAAACGAGATATAACAATGACAAGCTTCTCGTACGAGGGCTTGGAGTGGAGCTATTTTGAGCTGCGCTGTTTGTTTGCGGAGACGCCCGGAAGCAAGAGCGAGCCATCAGCGGCAGCATGGCAGAGCGCGCGTTGCCCGACAGCGGCCAGCGTCTTGAGGAACGAGTGCCACCAGCTGCCACTCTGGCAAGGCGAAGGTGCCACTACTCGTCCTTGGCCCTCGCCGCTTGAAGGATTGCAGCGCCCTCTCTCCAGTCCACGCCAGGGAGGGAGGGAGGGAGGGAGGGAGGTGGCTGCAAGTGGCTGCTCGTTTGGGCAGAGTGG